GAAAATGTTGTCTACAACCTTATGGGCACAGTATTGACCAAAAAAAAGTTGTTCAAGAACAAAGTTCTTAACAAATGTTGCCGTACTGAATATTCATAATCTCCAAATTACATCAAATGAAAGGCTTTCAAAAATAGAGACCTAATAAAAAAATCAAAATCATATGGAAACAGATGGGCCTAAATGTTATCCCCTTCCTGTTTGCTACTGTAATTGTTCTGAGGATGTTTTCAGTAAGCCTACAGAACATGATTTTGCATCTTCTGTGGTATAATTTAATATAAATGTAAAAATGTGAGCGTATAAATATGAAAATCTTTACTTTTCTACAAGCATAAAGAGCAATCATTTTCTTCAACCAGGTAACATTTGACCTAATGTTAAACACAGAAGAACAATACTAGGAAAGTAATTTGTCCTCAGATTACTTCTTTTTGAACTTTATCAAATACAGAGCATGAAAATGATAAATTTGAAAACAAAATAAAGTACCCCCCAACTAATATAGATGTGTTTTAAGTTTAGCAAATCAATTTTTAACCTTTTAATGTACAAATGTATTAATTATTGATAGGAAATGTATCTTTCACATTATGAGGTAAAATAGGTGTTGAGGGTTCTCAGGTTTTGCAGATACAGCTTGTCACCTGTATCTACCTGGCACTAAAGTTGTTCCCAATTTATTCAACCAGTTGAGTTGGAATTGGTCAGACAAGATGCATGTTGTCATGTGAACAAAACAGCTAGTTGATTTAACTTTTAACTTTTTAGCTATTCATTGTGTTTTGTTGCAGAACTAATGATCTAATTATGATTTAATTATTTTGTGACTTGTTCAGCTATTTGCTCTGTTTTACCTTTATAAACAAACCTACTATCCCAATACATATAATTCTTGGCCTTAAGAAAAATTCTATAGATGTTTCTCTTTAGTCAAGTAGCTTAAATCTAAATGAGAAGAGGAGAATTTTTGCACTTTATTGCAACCCTAATAAAAAGTCTTTGCAAGGCAATATAACTCTTCTTTGGTAAACAAACATGACTATAACTTTTGGTAAAGGTTATATAAGACTTTAGTTAAAAGTTAAAAGTTATTAAAAACATTAAAAATGTATAAAAGTTTATTAAAATAGCATAAGTTCTTTAATTAAAAGTAATATATAAATGATATATGTATATAATAACAATACATATGTGTATAAATATAAAATAAACTATAACTTTTTGGTAGATAGGAACTAGAGGGTTGTATGGAAATATACTCCTGTGACTCTTCCCTAATGTTTAGAGAGTCATTTGAAAAGTGGTGAAATGTTTTGAATTTCCTGCATTAGTGTTTAAGAATGGTTACCATCTCTCTACAATGCTTGGAGCTGAGACAGAGTCTTTTTAATGGGAGAAATTCACTGAACTACATTTCCAAGAAAACTATTTGACAAAATCAAGATGGCAGAATGAGAGACTGCAATTTTGGCTTAGTTCCCCCACAACATCCTTCATAATGACCTGGAAAGTTTATCAAACCTAATTATGATCAAGAAATCCAAGAAAAAGTCACAGTGAGTAATTTTTTCCAGCCCAGGGTAGCTTAGGAAGATGAAGAGATCTGCTAACACTAGGGTAGGGGCTGGCCAGCCGCACAGTGCAACAGCAGCAACATGGCAGCAGACAGAAATGGTAGCAGGCTGCATCAGAGGCAGTAGCAGTAGCAGTAGCAGCCGCAGCAGTAAGAAACAGCCTGGTGCACAGGGGCAGTAAAAGGGGACTAATTACCTATGCAAAAAGAGACCCCAGGGGACCCCTCAACTATCATGAGGAGCAGGAACAGGTGCCAACTGATATTTTTGTAACTTTTTTGTATTTTTATTATTATTTAATAATTTGTTTTTTATTATTTAATTATTTATTATTTAATATTGCTTAATATTTTTGTATTTTTGTTACCCAGTTTCTAATCACAGTCCCAGGGTGGAGAAGAATGTTTTTTGTCATGATAGGGCAAGAGCCTAATCTGTGTAAAGAATAACTCCTTAAAAATCGGTTGGCCAAATGATAAAAGATTTATAAAACTTCACTGAAGAAAAGAACTCCTTCAAAATCAGAATTGGCCAAATGGAAGCTAGTAACTCATCATCATCTCATAATAAGACATCAAGAAACAATAAAACAAAGTCAAAAGAATGAAAAAAAGTGAAGAAAATGTTAAATATCTCATAGAATATTGAACTGGAAAATAGATTGAAGAGAGAGAATTTAAGAATCGCCGGGCTCCTTGAAACCTCTGGTCAAAAAAGAGCCTAGACATCATATTTCAAGAAATTAAAAATGAAAACCACCCAGATATCCTAAAACCAGATGGCGAAGTAAAAATTAAAAGAATCTACCAGTCACATCCTGAAAGAAACATTAAAATAAAAACTCAAAGGAATGCTATGGCTAAAATTAAGAATTCCCAGGTCAAGGAGAAAATATTGAAATCAGCCAGAAAGAAATAATTCAAGTACCTGGAGCTACAGTCAGGATCATACAAGATTTAGCAGAAACAGAAGACTTGCAACATGTTATTCTGGAAGGCAAAGGATTACAACCCAGGATAATCTACCCAGCAAAACAGCATAATCCTACAGGGGACAAAATAGATATTTTATGAAATAAAGGTCTTTCCAACATTCCTTGCAAAACACCAAATAGAAAACTTGACATACAAACACAAAACTCAAGAGAAACATGGAAAGGTAAATATGAGTTAATAATCATGACTAAATGAAGTCAAACTACATTTCTATATGGGAAGATAATACATGTAACCTCTTGGAACTTTATCATCATTAGGGCTATTAGAAAGAGTTTACTTAGACAGAGGGTATGAGTGTTATTTTATTATGTTGGGATAATCTCAAAAGAAGAGTAGATGAGTGAGAAAGAGGGATGTGGTGAGGAGGGAGGAAGGGATGGGAAGGATGGGGAAAATTATCTCAACTAAATGGGATGTACAAGGAAGAGTTTATACAATGAAAGGGAGAATGGGGGGAAAGCAGGCAACACTTGAATTTTATTCTTATCTACCTAGTTCAAGGAGGGAAGAATATACATACACACACACAGCTGGGTACAAAAATTCATCTTACCCTATAGGGAAGTAGGAGGGAAAGAAGTTAAGAGAAAGGGGGTGGGAAATATGAGGGAAAACATATTAAGGGAGGCAGTTGTCAGAACCAGAAAACTCTATGGTGTAGTAGTAGTGAGAGCAAGCATTAACTCTTGACTGATGGCATACTTTTAGTACATAAAAGGTTGGAAAATTTGTAAGACAGGCTGCCATAGTGTTGAAGCAACAGGAAATATGGCAGACACATTTAGGCTATCGAGGTGTCTCCATTGCCAAAGCTTATCGGTACACAGTAGACTGCAATTGCTACACCAAAGGAAATAAACAATATTCTTTAATTGCTATGCCAAAAAAAGTCACAATTTTGAAGTCTGCTATTGGGGTGAGTTTTCTTAGAACTCTCTGCGAATGGGTTGATGTCTCCCTCTCTCTCTAGGTTAAAGACATCAGAATGTTAGCTGGGCACTAAAGTTAGTACTCTTAGTACTGTGGGTTTGGGCGGAAGTCCTTTGAACGTGGATGCCGTGAGCAGTTAGAACTGATTCAATTCATTGTTAATATTTTGCTACTCTAAGTCAGTAAATACTTGATTTAAATCTGTGTCATCAGGCTTAGTCTTGTGTAGGAACATACTTTGGTAGGGGATTGGAACTGTGCTATTATCCCAACAGTACTATGAAACTAAATGCAGTTGAGAGGACAATGTCAAGAGGGCCTTGGACTACTTTATTTTTAATGGGAGAACAGAAAGGAACTTGAAGGACAGCATCAAATTCTGGGAAATCTTCCAGGTTCAAATGGAAAATCTAGGAGAAAATCTGAAAGAAAAGATTGGAGGAGTGGTCAGAGATAAATATATTTTTACTTAGCTGTTTGTTTTTTCATTTTTGATAATGAAACACTCAAATTGGTTGGCTTTTATTTGCAGTGACTTCCATTTGCAACACACAATTACACTAGTAATTAAATTCTCCTTTGTGGCTTTCATTCAGATTGAATCTAAGATGCATGTTTGGGTCGATTCTAATTTCATCCCAACCAATTCACGTGCCCCTAACACTGAATTGTTTATATTTTGTTTTCTTGTATGTCCTGGTAGAAGCTGTTGTTTTCATTAGATTTGGACACTTTCTGAGCTTACTTTAAATTCTGGATTTTATGCCATGTTACAAAGAATAAGCTCACTTCCACCTATTTGTTTATATAAGAACTGTATTTTCCCCCCCCTCTGATCTGAGCTACGGAGTCTAACATGACTCACTAGGGTTTGGTGGTAGAATAAAACATGGGGCAAACTATACCAAACTGCCCCCAGTGAAAGTCCTAACCCTCTGAAATGCTCTTAGTTCCTGACAATCATGAGACCATGTTTTCTTTCCCTGCAGCCATATACAACTGCATCATGGGGTCTTTGTCCTAACAGCTCTGGGTGACCCACCTACCAGCTCTCTTTTTGACGTATATACAAAACATACATACATATATACACACACACATATGTATATATATGCGTGTGTATATATATAATGTATATATGTATATGTATATATATATATATATATGTAAAACTCCAGGTATTTTAACCAGACTATGTACCATGTTTCACGAATTGCCACGAAATGACCATTTCAATGATGGTTTCCATATGTGTTTTGGGAGTCTTTCACTTACAGCTGTTCATTGGAATCTTTCTCCCCAAAACGAAAGAATTTGAAACAGGAGAGGGCGCCCTTTGCTCTAGTGAGCAGCATAAATTGGGTTTTCCTCCTGCAGGAGGAAGCTTGCGGTCCTTTATATTTTGCTTGTGTTTCTGTTTCTTTGGTTACTGAGGGGGTAGGGAGGGGACAGAACATTCCAGCATTAGTACTTAATGCCCTCACCCCATCCCGGGTCTGCTTCTCAGAGCAGGGTGACCTCATTGTTGAAGAGGTGCAGATTAAAAGAAGAAGCAGTCATACATGAGCAGCCTGACTTGTGGGGAGCCTCAGCTGCAGCACACTGCAGAGGATGAATACCTGAGCAGCCGGCCCCGCCCTTTGCCTGCCAACAATGTCTGCCTTCTCTGCTGCGAGCTTTTGAGCGCATCAGGAGGGATGCAACGCCTGCTTTAGCTAAGGGGGTGCTGCTCCCTGTGGATTCTGGTCCGCTGCAGCATGGGAAAACACACAGAAGATATAATCAAGGTGTGGGTGGTTAGAGGGGGCCGGAATTCATTCTTTCAGTCTCCCAGGTGTTTTGTGCAACTTCTTTGTCGCAGTCTGACACTGGTTTTGCCGCTTGTGCGCAGCTGTGAAGGTGGTGCTTTGTACATGGGGGTCATAAGAAAGATGGGTGGAGAAGCATCTGTGGGGAAAGCCGTGGCTGAACACAGCCCACACGATCTCCTGAAGGGAGTAGTTCCCTGTAGCTGAGAAAAGTGAACCGTTTACCCAAAGAGAAGGGCAAGGAGAGGGAGAGACAGAGACACAGAGAATCAGACAGACGTGAGAGAGAAAGAAATGAGACAGAGGGAGAGTCAGATGGAGAGAGGAGAGAGATAGAGACAGGAGAGGATGGAGAGACAGGCAGGGACGAGAGAAGCAGATGAAAAGAGACAGGAGACAAAGGGCGGAAAGAGGGCAGACAGAGGAATGAAGACAAATAAGAGAGACAGAGTAGAGAGAAACATAAAAAAAGAGACAAAGATACAGAGGAGAGACAGAAAGAACAAAACAGAGAAATGAAGACAGATGGAGAAAGGAGAGATGAGGAGAGAAGACAAAAATACACAGAGGAAAGACAGATACAAGGCAGAGGGCAGTAAGAGACAGAGAGATTAATGGAAAGAAGGGAAAGAAACAGAGACTTTCACAGAGAGAGACAAAGATTTTTACATCAAAACTGACTGATTCTAAACATGTTCCTAGGAATCTTCTTTAATTGAGATACTTGTCCTCGGAAATAGGCCAGTTTTTTCCAAAGTACCTACTCCCTCCAATCTTGCTCACTTTTATAAGCTATTGTCGTTTTGTCCAATTTGCTCTGTTGGTAGTATGCCTGCCCCCCACTGCACCCCTAACCCTTTTTACTCCCACTCTCTTTTACCCCTAGGAAGGCTAAATAATATCCACATAAGGCAACAGGTTCCTGCTTATCGTTATGTGTGGTCATGGCTGCATTGTGTACCAGCAAACTAAAGAAGCAGAAAAAGCCACAGCCCTGTTAGCCAAGATTTTGCTTTTCTGCACAGAGAAAGGGGAGGACTGCTTTGGTAACTGAGTACCAACAGGTTAAAGAGGGAAGAATTTTTGGCTTCAATTCCTTTCAACTTTTAGGTTCAGTGACTACATCTGCAAATCACCATAGTTCATTTGAATTCCTTTTGGAGAAAAAATGTAAGAAATGCATTCCATCCTCCATTTCTACCCTCAGAATTTTTCATGGTCCCATTCTTAAAGTGACATCACCCTTTCCCTCAGGATAATAGCCTAGTTATTCTGTCACTTGCTATAGTTCATGCCCCCTAAGTCCTTAACCCTGTTAAGAGACCGCAAAGGGGGCTGACATCTAAAAATGAAAGACATTTTTAGAAGACTGCTCGAATACCGCCTGTAAAGAAAAGTACCGAATAATTCAGGGGGTCTGAGGGTCTGAGAAGGAATGAGGAGGAGAGGTAAAGAGGAAAAGAGGAGGTGTTGAATAGTACAAGATTGTGGGCCATTGATAAATACTTGTTGACTAACCTGAGTTATGTAGGGTGAAACCTGATAATACATTGGGTGATTTTCAAAACCTCAACTCAGGTGAATTAGGGGCTCTAATGGTATTATTAGCTTTCTCTCTCTCTCTCGCTCTCTCGCTCTCTCGCTCTCTCTCGCTCTTCCCCCCCCCTCGGCTTTTACCTTTACCTGTGTCCATTTTTTGCCTTTGCTATAATGAAAAGGGTTCTTGTGGATAAGAAGGTAATGTAGCAGCAGGAACAAAGTTCTTAAAGATAAACAGTTCCATTCTTATTTCTCTGCCTTGCTTATACTTAATTTTACCCAACTGTTTCTACTACCATTACCTTACACTTTTTTTCTGGAATCTCTGTTATTCCCAGTCATTCTTTGGGTAGAATATCTGGTACTCAACATATAGAGCGGTGTTATCAAACTCAAATAGAAGCGATCCCTGTGTGTCCACATATTGACTTAGAAATCCACAAATTAACGTTATCTGTGTTATAATGTATTTTTTATTTATTTTGTTAAACGTTTCCCCATTACATTTAGTATGGTTTGGGCTACACTCCAGGTTAGCTTGCAGCTAGCAGCAGAGAGTTTTATGTCTCTGATGTGGACGATACCAGAACCCTGAGCCTGAGATCCCATCAACTTTTGGTCAACTTGCTATAGTTTCATTTTTTCTGGGAACTGGTCCATGGCACGTTACACTTGGTTCCCCAGTGCTTTTACACTGTACTGCTCGTGATTTCACAACTCCAACTTGAGGTAGTGAGCTTTCCTGTTAGCCTGGCTCTAAGTCTAGAGATCTGTCATGTCTGAATCCAAATTACTAGTCTCTTTCTCATTTGCTGCTGCTGGTGCTTCCAGATCTCATTTTCTAGTACTCACTTCCCTTTTTTTCCCCCTATGTTCTGTCTGCATACAGTCTAGACCACAAGAGTATGTTTTAGATGGATAATTCACAGGGAAAATAGGATGTACAAATTCAGAAATAATCAACCAAAGTAGAAGTGTATATAAAAGAAGTTTGTCCAGTCTTGGACTGAGGGCCACCTAAGCCTTCTGATCCAACCCCCAGCTGAGGTTGCATAGGCCTTGTTTGTTTTGTATTTGTTTGTTTGTTTTTTTGGCAATTGGGGTTAAGTGACTTGCCCAGGGTCACACAGCTAGGTGTCAAGTGTTTGGTCTGAGGTCGAATTTGAACTCAGGTACTTCTGACTTCAGGGCCAGCACTCTATCAACTGCGACATCTAGCTGCCCCACATAGTTTGGACCATGATACTCTTTACAACAGAGCTAGTGATCGCTGTATTCATTCTTTTCTTGGTCCTACAGGAGAATGGAACTTTCATTTCAAAACACACCCAAGTTGAGTCAAGGATTTTTCTACCTACATCCTCTGGATTCCGAGCAATTGGTCTATTATTCCAATCACAACCTCACTTCTGATTGATCAGGAAGCCTCCTTGTGGTTCTCCACCCATATTACTACTGCATAATTGGTTCTCTTACTAGGACTATCCCCTCTTCCCTTCCAAGGGAAAAACAAGGAAACACATAACAGGTAGTATTCTTGTCTCCTCAAAAAAGATCAGCTTTCAACTTGATACCATGCAGATTGATCCCAGTGTTCACAAATGACCCTCCTTTCTTTACAAGATCCTCTTTCCTTACTACTAAAACACAGACTCTTTGAGGGCAGGGAATGGTATGTTGTTTTTATAGTTTTTTTGGACAGTGGCTAGCACAGTATCTCCTACATCAGTGGCATCAAACTCAGAGAGAAATGAGGCCACTAACCTGTACATAAGGATCCTGATGGGCTATGTGTTGACTTAGAAGACTACTTGTTAACGTTATCTATGTTCTATTGTATTCTTATTTATTTTGTTAAGTATTTCCCAATTACATTTTAATCTGGTTGGGAGTGTTATAGGCAATGCAGCCTTCAGGTTGTGTATTTGATACTTCTGTTGTATATAATAGGCATTCAGTAAATACTCATGGAAGGTCAGAAGGCAGGCAGGAAGGAAAGAAAGAAAGAAAGGTTATAGAGAAAATAAGTCCTCTAATGAAGAAGATATGTTTAGTTTGATGATTTACAAACACACACATATGCATTGGCACACACATGCCTATGAACATGCTCACGCACACAAACACACACAAGAGCAGGGGGAAGAAAACTATCAACCTGATCAAAATGATGTGACAGGTGCAATAAGGGACTGTGAAAGGCTTACAGCCAGGAAGCCTGTGTGAATGATAGAAAGTCATTGTCGTGTGTGAACCTGACCCTGTACATTCCTATTGTCCATTCAGATGGATCCTATCAGCATTTCTCAAATGCTTTCCTCTCTTAGTGTAACTTAACTCCCTGTAAAGCTTGGGGAGACATCATATGGGATAGGCTGTTTAGAAAATTGGCATTTTGTGCCAAGTTGCCTCTTCCCTTAACACCTGAGATAATTATGTACCCCGGGTCAAGGACAATCCAACAAACTGGAGCCTTGTAAGCACGGTATGAGAGGGAGCGTTTTTAAAGGACAGTAGTGGGTAGCTAGGTAGTGCAGTGGATAGAGCATTGGGCCTGGAGTCAGGAAGACTTGAGTTCAAATGTGACCTCAGACACTTCCTAGTTGTGTGACCCTGAGCAAGTCACTTAACCCCATTTACCTCAGTTTCCCTATTTGAAAAATAAGCTGGAGAAGGAAATGGCAAACCACTCCAGTATCTTTCCCAAGAAAATCCCAAACAGAGTTATTAAGAACTCGGGACACAACTGAAACTTGGGACAACAATGGTTGAGAGAGAAGAAAAAAAGTATATGATTTCAAACCACTGTATCACGGAAGAAACCATAAGGGCCAAGGTGCTAGGGTATGGCTGAGAATCTTGGGGCTTAGACTCTATGTCTTTGCTGTAAGACTTTGGGCAAGTTATTTAATCTCTTTGGGGCCCTGGTCTTTTCATTTGTAAAAAGAAGTGTTTAGACTAGATTATATTTAAAGGTGTCTACCAATGCTCTATGAATCTTTGAATGGCTGCTGGCTAATAGAAATTTATTTTCAAAGTAGGCTCCTTTCCACACCTCCACATCCCCCCAGTTCATCACCATTGGTGACTGTTTGCTGACTTTTTCAGTCAAACTCATCAACACTTATATTGACCTTTCCACCAAAACAGGACTTAGGGATAATAGATAAGAATAAAGGTAGATAGTTACTTATTGTCAAAGAATAAAGGTAGATGCATATTTATTGTCAAAGGGGAAAGGCATAAGCATTTTATTTTTTTTATTTTTTGCCTTTTCTTTTTAGGCAATTGGGGTTAAGTGACTTGCCCAGGGTCACACAGCTAGTAAGTGTCAAATGTTTGGTCTGAGTCCATATTTGAACTCAGGTCCTCCTGACTTCAGGGCCGCTGCCCCTCATAAGCCTTTTATATAGTATCCACTATGTGCCAGGCACTGTGCTAAGTGCTTTGCAAAATATCTCATTTGATCCTCATAACAATCCTGAGAGGCAGGTTTAAAATATCTCTATTTTACAGTTGAGTAAATGGAGGCAGTCAGAGGTTGTGACTCATCTAGGGATCCACAGCTTTGTCTGAGGCTGAAATTAAAGTCAAGTCTTCGTGACTCCAAGACCAGTGCTATATGCACCCAGCTGCCTCAAAGTCTTCAGAAAGTTTCTGTGGTGTTCTGTTGTGAGGAAGGGGTCTTTACTGAGGCTATTTTTGCTCAATTTACACAGTAAGAAACAGGGAGTAGCTTTTGGAGTAGTTTTATTTTTCTTCCTCCCAAAACAAGTACAGTGTGTCCCTTTAATGAATGGTAAACAATGATAATAAAGTCATCAGAGACCTAGCTTGGTGTTGAGAACTGGCCTCAGAGTCAAGAGGACCTGGGTTCAAATCCTGTTTCTGGCACGTACTGGTTGTGTAAACCTGAGCAAGTCACTTACCTTTCAGTGTCCCTAGGAAACTCTTAAAAACTAAGTTGCAGAACAACAGCTGATCTGCATTGCTAGAGGGAGTCTTTTCACTAAGACTTCACTAAACCAGAGAAATCACACTTCTAGGTCCCCTCAAGTTTCAGTAAATTTGCTAGGAATGAATGCATGTCTTAAGTTCTGAAGATGATTGCAGAAGCAGGAATGAGCGCTGGACTTGTGCTCAGAAGACTTGAGTTCAATTCCTAGCCAGTGGCTCAGGAGTCAACGACCCAGGTTCAAATCTTGCCTGTGAGGATTATTACCTTAGGTTTTCTAGGCCTCAGTTTCCTCATCTCTAAAATGTGAGGGTTGGACTAGATATCCTCTGAGGTCACTTCCATCAATAGATCTACGACCCTTCCCAACTGTATGACCTTGGGCAAGTCATTCTTCCTCGCTAGGCCTTGGCTTTGTTTTCTGTAAAAGGAGATAGAAATAACTTTGTTGCTCTTGTTTTAGTCATTTTTTCCAGTCACGTGTGACTCTTTGTGATCTCTTTTGGGGTTTTCTTGACAAAGAAGTGATTTGCCATTTTCTTCTCCAGCTCATTTTGCAGATGACGAAACTGAGGCAAACAGGGTCAAATGACTTGCCCAGGGTCTGGATCTGGATTTGAATTCAGGTCTTCCTGACTTCAGGCCTGGTACTCTATCCACTGTACCACCTAGCTGCCCCAGAAATACTTACATTCCCCTTTTAAAATCTTACTCTGATGGCTCACTGTGAACCCCTCCTGGGGGTCTTGAAGATTATATCAACAGACTACAAACTCTGACAGGTCCTGCTGAATTGAAAACACTTGTGATGACCAAGTCTAGCTAAGTTTAATAAGACCCTTTGTCACCAGAAAGTTAGTCACAGGATGATAAATTTATTTTTTTTTTGGTCCCTGCTATGTACACACTCCTGTGTGTGTTTTACGTTGGTTGGTAGAAGTGATACTCAAACAGATGAAATCATGGGTCCTTGAAGCACCAGAGTAAGTATAATTATTCAAACCTCTGTATCCCAGAGAGTGCAGACAGGAGAGGAAAGAGGGGAGGCATGAATAGGCCACGGAAAGCCCTTACCACTCTGTAGAAAGAGAGAAGTGATAGAAAGAGATGGGGGTGGGGTGGAGTTGGGCATAGGCAAGAAGTAATAATGGTAAAATAGATGAGGAGGAAAATAATTGTAAACAGATCAATAGGTTGCAAAGTCATTATATAATCACAGAGGGCAGACAGAACAATGGGGCAGCATTGTTTCAAGAGCTGTCCTAGCAGGGATGCTGACTAGTCATTGTGGAGATTGACAGGCCCTCTTGTTGGCATGCTGGGGAAAATTATTGTACCATATGACAGCTGGGTACTCGGTAGACTCTAGAGTGGCTCAGCATTTTGAGGTGGGAGAAATCCTTTGGCCCAAAGCAGTCTCTGTGGGTCTTGAGTTTCTTCTATCACCCTGAGGTCTGGCTCAGAGGATACTGTCCTCTGTTCTACATTGATCTTGGTATATGCTCTATCTTTCCTTCTCTCCAACCTGGCTGAATAAAACTTGAGAATGGTCTATAATTGGTGTTATTTTTAGTTTTCCATTTTAAAGAGATCTCATTTTATGATCTATATTTTAGGCTTCAGAGACAGAGGGCTGGCCTCAGAGTCAGGAAAGCTTGGGTCTTCTTTCTCTGATATATACTGGCTGTCCAATCCTGGCAGGTCACTTAAACTCTCAGTGCCCTAGACAACCCACTAAAATTATAAACTGTAAGGCAGGAGCTGATTTGCATTGGAAGAAAGACTTTTTTCACAGGGAGTTTTCTTCATGGGAGGTACACTTATACTTGGACCATTATAGTACTTAGGTGTTTCTGCTGGTTGAGAGTAAGTCAAAGGGTATAGCCGAGAGGATTAGTATGAGTTGACCATGAGTCCTTCATGTAACAAAATTGATGGCACCAGATACAGGCTGTACTGGTGAATGAGTCGCTGCTAACATATCTCCTGTGGCCCCCTTTATTCCCATGTTAGAAATTCATATTTAGGGGAGAACATACCCTTACTTCACAATACAGCCATTCAAATGGACCTAGAACATCATGAGAACTTTTATTTCCACATGTGGTTTGAACCAAAAAGTTCAGCAGTCTGAGAAAATCTGCATTATTCTAGGAGGGACATTTTTTTCTTGTTCTTTGATTTAAAAAAAAGTGGGCTAAAAAATAAGCATATAGGAAGAAATTTTACAAAAGGTTGAAAAGAAGTTAGAAGAAAGATTTGGCTTTCCCCTGTATGAAAGCTGGATAGTTGGTAGAGGTAAAGGACCCCTGCTCTGGAATTCGATGACCTGAGTTCAAATCTTACCTCTGATAATTTCTCTGTGTGTGACAGTTTTGTACTGAACCTTCCTGGGCCTCGATTTCCTTCTTTCTCTGCTTCCTGCCTTCCTTTCTTTTTTCTCTCCCTTCCTCCCTTTTTGCTAGATATGACTAATAATTTGGAATGCGAGAGGGAGGAGAAGCCCATGAAATCCTTCCTTGGGCCAGACTGGGGCTTTTTTCAATTTTTTTTTCATAGGCACCAGTTATAGTGCTGACTCTTAGCTACGGCTTTTACTCAAATAAGGCCATGACCCTGGATGATGTAGGGAATATTCTACAGTATACTGCTGTGGGGTCAGGATAAAGGAAATGAGAATCTTCTCCTTTATTTCGGAGGTTTTCTTTTTTTCTTTTCTTGAACACCCAGGTTCATTGGTATAGAGTCCTAGACTTGCATTCAGGAACACTGGGTTTAGATCCCACATCAGACGTTTTTGGCGAGATGAAAGAGCAAATCACCTTAATCTCTCAGGGCCTCATATTTCTTACAAATAAGGTAGAGATCATAATTGTAATACCTCACTGAGTTTTTACGAGGAAAGTGCCATATGAATATGACATGATTATTTGATATTACTTAAATTCTGAGTCAAAATTTCTCATGTTGGCCTGAATATAGGCCACCCCCAACCATAATCCACTTTATAAAATAAGGTCTTCTTGACCTTATTTTGAAAGGGATACAATAATAACTCACATTTATATACCATTTAAAGGTTCTAAGTGCTTTCCTCACAACAGTGAGGCAAAGGGGAAGGGAGCGGCCGCGATGAGGATAATAATGGTTAATAATGTGGTTAACAATGCCTTATTGCTACTCAGAGATATGGGGAAAGAAGATGTCAATGGGGGAGTAGATTAAGTGGGGGTCCCTATTGTCCCCCAGTCCCAAAAGACAATATGGTGGCTCAGACACACAGTAGACTGTATATTCTGATCAAAGGCCCAACGCTACTCAGGGCTCTGATGTGCCACTAATAGAAGAATGTCTTTGAGGGAGGCTGTGGTGGGATGGGCCACTTGGATAAGGATATTCTCTAAATTGCTTAAGAATGGTGGGGGACAGGGAACCATGAAGCTTAACTCTGTGCCACAAAAGGTAAGTGAATTGGTGATAGTGATGATGGGGTAATACCCAGTCTTTAGGTCACTAAACCTTAGCATACATGTATCATGAGCTATCCTGGGTTTGGGGATGAACCAATGAAACTATGTTTCACCAAGTTCACAAGAGGATAAGTATTATCATCCCCATTTTACAGAGGAGGAAATTAAGCTCAGAGGAATCAAGGGACACCTATCATAGCTAATAATACATTTTAGGCACATACTCAAAAAATAATACTGATTATAGGCTGATCTCAGGTTTTATACCTGCATTCCAAATCTGGTTTTAAAAGTATGTCCTCTACATGGACCAGTAGAACTATACAACATCTGCTGAAATAATTTTTTGGACATCCCTCTACAACCCACTAAATTTTATAATCAGATTTTGGGTGAATATTGTGAAAAACTCTTTTCAACCTTAAAAGTTCCCATTGGAAAGACTAGGAATATTTTGCAAGAAAGAAAACAGGGTCAGTTAATCAATAATCATTTATTAAGTGCCAGGCATTTAACAAGGCTCAGGAGTGACAAAGAGACAACCTGTGCCCTTGAGGATATCTCAGGGAGACAACTATACACATATAGGGGTGTGTGTGTGTATGTGTGTGTGTGTGTGTGTGTGTATATATATATATATACATATATATATATACATATATATATACATATATATACATATATATATATATACATATATATATATGCATGTGTACACACACCCCTACATATGTAAATCATATAAAGAGTAATGTTCAACTTTTGCTGGGATTAAATAAAATTATATTTATTTATGTTTATATAAATATAAAATAGATCTTACATGGAAGATAAAATGTTCCCAAACTTTATTCTTTTCTGCCACATCCCTCCATGAAAGGTGGGCAATACAAGCACTTTTACCTTTCTTGGGAAGTGGGATAGGGCAGAGAAGAACAGCATTTGGAAAGGTGTTGGCATCTTAAAAGTTTATTTCATTTATGGCAAAGGTTGGCATCTATTCTTGGACATCTCTTTTGAGTGTGAGCAGGCCTGCTCTTCTGCTGCTTTGCAAAAAGTTCTTTTAGCATCTTGGTCAAAGTTCTGGGCCATGGTGTGTGGCCATGGTTTTCCATTTGTGTATTTGTGAGCTGTGAAAACTGTGAACTTCTTTCTCAGTAAGGGAAAGGGTATAATTGAGCTGTTGGAATGATTTATGCAGTTCTTTCATGGCCCCGTGCTGGCAAGAGGTCAGAAGTACTGAAGGGCTTAAGTGTATCCTTAGGTAGTAGATTGAAGGTATTGAGAATGGGACAATCAGACAGTCAGGGCAAATCATGCGTTGGGCTGTGTGGAGGTAAATTAGTCAGAGAATAATAAAATGCATGGTGCGGGCTAGCCATAATCTGTATCCGAAAACTATCATCCTCTCCCCTTGTTTTCCTGCCCTGGGATGCTAGAACATTTAAAAAAAAGGAAGTGTGGGAAGAGTGGGTTCTGACTGTGACAATTACAGGCTTAACAAAATATTGCTCAGGACAACTATTGCCTTACTTGTTATCGTCCATTTAAGTATATTTCTGATGCACTGCTGGGAGATGTTTTTCAAAATAAAAAAATATACAATAAATTGTCCCACTACTCGTTGACATATTCTTCTGTTGGTTTGCTATGCTTAAAGAAAGCCTATTCAGCAAAAAAATGAAGAATTTTAGACTCAGTGGCAGTCTTTTAGCTCCTCCTTTCCCCACTGTGCACATCCCTGTTCAACTCTAGCTTCCATAGATAGAATGCATTTCAATGGGATCTACAACATTTTTATACTGTTTCTAAGTCATGCAAAATGATATTCCATTGCTCCAATGTACAGAAGAGCGTACCAAAATGTCTAAAATTTTGTTTTAAAAAGACTGCTATTTGTACTTCCAAGTAATAATCAGTTGGGGGCTGACTATACTAATTGAGATTTTTATAGGTCATAGGGTCAGAGATTCAGAGCTAGAAAGGAACTTTGAGACTGTGGAGTCCAGTCTCTCATTTTACAAATGAAAAAACTAAGACTGAGAGGTTATATAACTTGCCTTGGGTCATACAACTAGAAAGTGTCTGAGACTAGATTTGAACTTAGGTCTTTCCAAACTCGCAGACCTAATCACTGCACCAGCTTGGTGAAAGCAAAGGTGTAAACTGCTACTCATTTAATTATTTTGAATCAGTTCACTGAAAATTGCTTGATTGGCTCATCTAAGGCACGGTATAATGTATCTGCTTTCTAATTTGGAGTTTATCTTTTCAGTGGCCAAGGAATTCATGTCCATCAATAATGCCTCTGCCTTGGACATTTTTCCATATACAATGGCAGATTCTTATTCTTTATCCTTCCTTTGCCTAGACCACTTGCTGATCATGTCTCTTCTTTTGTTCTTCCTGTGTCACATTCCTCCCCACCCCTCTTTGTCTTGCCATCCTCATTCCTTCATAACATGGGTCACTTAGAGTTGGTCAGACATCAAAGACACCAGGGTCATCCACTCCATCCCAGGCCATCGCCAGGCATTCTGACTTTCGTCTTGCCACTGGAATTTGATGATTGTAGAGGGAGGTGATGACTTTGTGCAGTTTAGGTCAAAACATCACCCCATTATATCATTGGTTCTCTTCAAAAATGAAGAAAAGGGACAGCTAGGTGGCACAGTGAATAGAGCACCGTCCCTGAAGTCAGGAGGACCTGAGTTCAAATCTGACCTCAGACCAAACAGTTGACACTTACTAGCTGTGTGACCCTGGGCAAGTCACTCACTTAACCCCAATTACCTAAAAAAAAAAAAACCCAAAACAGCAATATGACATGATATAACATGAGAATATCACATTATTATGATAATATATTTATAAAATAAATGAGTTTTTGCAAGTTTGAGGTAAATTTGATATTTGAAAAGTCATCTGTAGCTATTTGGGTTTATCCTCACAACATTCCTAGAATCCTGGAAAGTAAGTTGGTGACATCCTGTAATGTTGATGAGAAAATCAAAGCCATGAGTTTTTAGGTATTTTATGGAAAAGAAGGGTATTATCTAGTAGTGGATATGGAAACAGTATTGTGAGGACCAGCTGTACCAATGCTCTATGGTGTGCATTTTTACATAATTTGCTTCTTATTTCAAACTCCATTTTCTTCAAAATTGTTCAATCATCAACAAAAAGTCTTGGGTGACTATGAAACCAATTCCTGCTTAAGGCAGGAGTCCAAGGCTACTGGGTATAACATGGCTCCTCTGTGAGCTTAGGTAATGGGTAGTGCTTGGGTAGTAGGGGAAAATAATTTTTCTTTGCATACACATTCAGTTTTTTATCTTTCCAGTTCCTCCAGTCAAGAAGGAAACTGAGAAGGCTGTTTGGATGATCCGACTGGTCGTTCATTACAAATAGGGTTAGACCACCACCGTTGAGGTTCTTGCCAACTGGAACTGCTGACCGAGGGGTAAAAGTTTCCCTATTCCTATTGCCAAGTACTTCAACTGAACACTTGCTCATGTTTCATTGTTACTACACTTCTGTACTGTACTGAAAAGACTGCTCACTCCGAAGTCTAACTTAACAGATGTAGTCCCCATGTAAGTGGAGGGCAATGGAGGGGAGGTATTGTGACATTAACAACCACTTTGTCTTTCTACGATATCTTATCACATAAGTCTTCCTGCCTCCTTGAGCTTCTCTCACTATATCTCTGAAAACAAAATTTGTAAAGAACTGTTGTTCACTGAGATCAATTATTAAATTGCAGCTCATGTTTTTCTTTGTCCAACATAACCTCTCTCTCCAATCTTTGAGACCCTCCCTATGTGCTACAGTAAAACAACTTCTGTCTAGAATACATTTCTTCCAGTTTATAGTATCCAAGTAGCCATGATGGCCTTAATGGAAGTGTTTATTATAATTTTTTTCTTCTTTATGCCATCACTTTGAATACCCTAAAAGAAAATAACATTGTTCACACTTCTAAATCTCATGTCTATGGTCATGACCTAACTATTCCTAATGTATATTTTGTAAAAGACATTTTCTTATTTTGACCCAATTTTTTTTGAGGGAGGAATGGAAAACTCTGGATCAAGTTCTCAAATAATTTCAAATAAGAGGAAGAATGTCTAGACTCCAAGTCCCCACTGATGGTGTTCACTTAATCACCTTCCACCTCAGTTCCCTCGTCATAAAGGTGGCACAGTGGATACAGCCCTAGGCATCTGCCTTCAGACTCTTTGCCTTCAGACTCTTTTTTTTTTTTTTAGTGAGGCAATTGGGGTTAAGTGACTTGCCCAGAGTCACACAGCTAGGAAGTATTATGTGTCTGAGGTTGGATTTGAACTCAGGTCCTCCTAAATCCAGGGCTGGTGCTCTATCCACTGCACCACCTAGCTGCCCCCAGACTCTTTATTAGCTTTGTGACCCTGGGCAAGTTACTTAACCTCTATTTCCCTCACTTTCCTCAACTGTAAAATGGGGACCAAATGCGATAATGTTAAAAAAAAAAAAGCAATGAACACAATGCCTGGCACATAGTGGGTGCTTTAAAAATGTTTATTTCCTTCACTTTCCTTCCTTCGTCTGTAAAGTGCTGTTCTAGGTAGCCATTGAGGTCCTGTCCAGTTCTAGATCAATGAACTGCAAGTCACTCCCCCACCCCAATCCCTCTGCTTTCTAGGCCTGCCCTATTTCAATGTCCCATTCCACTTTCTTTCCTGGACCTTCAAGCCAATCAGGGACTGTTTGAGTAGCAGTTGTTATTAAAGAATGGGGGTCATGCCTGTTGTTGGATTTACTTATTTCCCATATTCTGGGTTAGCTCTGTTGAAAGAATGAAACCTTAATAAAATGCTGCTGTTTAATTCAAAACTGTATCCTGAACTGTTGTTTTAGATTTTTATTTATTTATTTTCAGTATCTGAATGCTCACAGCTCTCATGAACTTTCTCCTTCTTCATTCCCAGTAGAGAGGGTGGGACTTTGAGTCTTTTGAGATTTCTGACATGCTGTTGTTAAACAGCTGTTTACAGAGGCACTGTTATCCTCACACCCACACAAGCCCCAAAATAGAGGCAATGTACACTCTGTGCTGGATTTCAAATGCACAGTGTGCATTTTTCCCTTTTGGCTTCCATCATCTTTCTTCCCTGAAAACAAGGAATCGGCCTATGCCATTTAGTTGGGAAGAGGCCAAATCTATTTAAAAACACAAACTGTGGTTACTATAGAAATGCAGGTGACTGTAAAAATGATTTGAACCTTGGGAAACCATTACATCTCAGGAAATTTGCATTTTGAGAAAGAGTATTGGTTTGTTGGCTCAAAAGAATATGATTTATAACTCCACAGTCCAGGGACTTTACCAACCACCCTGTTTATGAAAGTTTAAGGAACTATCAACTTTTTTTGAGCCACTAAGACAAAGTATGTCTCTGACATTTATTTTTTGGCAGTTTCCTCTTACCCAGCCTCACAGATGTGTGCTGGTCACAAAACAGCCCCCAGGAGGTTTTGCTTTAGGGCTGATTTTATGTAAGCCCAAGACAATTTTAAATTTTAAGTTAGGCTGTTTCCAGGCTATTCGTGTAGAAAAATAAAAGATCTATGTAGCTGCTGAGGCTTTCCTTCTTCTATACCTTAACCTTGGCCAGAACGTATGGTTAGTACAATGTACATTAAAGGACTTGGCTAGTGAGAAAGAAGTCGATGTAAAGAAAAATCCTGCTGTTTTCATCCCTCGTTAACATATACCTTTTCATCATTCTCTTCATTGTCAGTGATTTTGGGGGGAAAATGTTTGCAGCCTTTAGAGGTTCACAGTGCCTTGTGTTTCAGAAGTACTTTTGATATTGCTGAAACAGGGATCTTTTTGAATGAACCAGCTCATTAATATTTTAAATATCAGCCCTTTCATTCATATGTTATTGCCTGTTATGTTCCTAAGCCTCCAGTTAGGCATGATCCCTTATTATGCAGTTGTACAATGAGCTGTAACTACTTTGAAGAAACCATTGTGGGCTATTGTGTCAGTCCTATGAAGATTAAGAGTCCAGGAGAACCCATGGAGGTGGTCCAGCCTTTATGGTCTGTCATGCTATGGGTTGCTCCCTGATTAATGACCACAGATTTCATCACCATGCTCAAGACTGTTGAAGCGGCAGTGGTATTGAATGACAAAGTGTGTGTGGCAAACGAGATTCCAATGTCTTTTCTCTTTTAGTTTTCCTTTTTGTAAAACAAAGGAAATTGAACTTAGTGCTTTTTTAACGGTAGAAAAATATTCTTATCTAGAGCTTCTTGATGCCAATGTTTCTCAACGTCTGTTCTTGAGGGGGGGAGAATTAAGGTCTTGAGTCCGAATAGAAATTATCTTAAATAAGGGAATTAAAGAATCATTGGACATGCAAATTTTAGAACTAGTGGGGGCCCAAGATATCATTTTGTGGTTCAATGGAAAGACAAATTTGGTAGAGAACTGGATTCATACTTGTCCCTCTGTCCCTGTGATCCCCCTTCTTCCTGTAGTGATTTCTCTCTCTGGAATCTCCTTTTTGAGGAAGGTAGACTGGCCACCCTTCATTCTTCAGACTTTGTTAACTTGTTTTCATGTAGGTACCTTCTCACCTTTGCATTTAGCTCCTTTTAATGTATTGTCTCCCCATTTAGAATGTAAGCTCTTTCAAGGTAAAGACTGTCTTTATTTTTTGCTTGTATTTGTATGTTGTATGCTTAGCACAATGCTTGGCACATAGTAAAGGCTTAATGAGTGCTTGTGAACTTGTGACCTAGAGCAAGTCCCTTTGCTTCACTGAAATTCAATCTCCTCATCTGTAAAATCAGGCAGCTAGGTGACTCAACAGATAGAGTGTTGGACTTGGAGTCAGGAAGAACTGAATTCAAATTCAGCCACAGATACGTCCTAGATGTGTGATCCTGAGCAAGTCACTTAATTGTGTTTGCCTCAGTTTCGTCATCTGTAAAATTACTTGAAGAAGGAAATGGCAAACCATTCCAGTATCTCTGCCAAGAAAACCCCAAAAGGCATGATGAAGAGTCAGACACGACAGAAAAATGATTAAACAACAACATCTGTGAAATGAGGTAGTTGGCTTAGATGACTTTCCAATTCTAAATCTTTGGTCTAACATTCTACATGTTGAGGAAAATAAGGCCAAGAGGTGGATTAGCCAAAGGCCTCACTGCAAGCTATTGACAAAGCTAGGACTACTCTTCAGGTCTTCAAATCCCATTCCAGGTTGCCATTTTCAATTGCTTAAAAAAAAAAAACCCAAACAAACAGAAACAAACAAACAAGCAAAATAATGATCATAATAATTGCTTTGCTCAGGTCAGGCTGTTGTATATGAACTCCTATATCCATGAACTAGTCTTGCTAGCAACAATAACACGGTATTTGAACTAACTCATAATCATAATCTATAAAGGCTGTGATTCTATAAACCACAAAGCACAGCTCTGTGCTAGGATCCCTCCTTCAAATAACCATATCCTGGTAGTAAGGGAGAGTTACTAATGGATTAAAGTTCACCTCTAAACAACACAGTGCAATAAAAAGATCACTAAGTCAAAACGTGTTGATTTTTTTTGAACTTTTTACTTAGAGTTCCAACATTTCTAGCCATTACACTAGCCTCATTCACTGTTAGTTAACCCTCTGTTCCCTTTTCAAATTATTATTCCTAATCTATGTTTTATTGGTGTGGGAAAGTCCAAATGTGGAATCTCTTTTCCCCAAAAGCAGATTTGCAGATTATGTGTAATTATTAGAAAATAATTTAAGGCCCTGAGAGGTTAACTTATTTGCCCATGGTCACATGAGATCTTGAACCCAGGTCTTCTTGACTCCATGATTATTATAATCTCTTTTGCCAAGCTGCCTCTCTACTCCATTTTACCTTTGCAGATGCATTTGCATGGAAATGACCAGCCAGAGGAAAGATTCTTGGCTTGTGTCTCCAAAGTTTATTTGTTTATTGAAATATAAAGCATCGAGTTATACCAAAGATATTCTAATAATAGATAGTAGTCTAGGGTTTGGTAGATAGATTGAGGCTATATTTGATTAACTTTACTAAGTTTTTATTCCATTACTCCATGGCCTTTTTTTCCCTTTTCTTTTCTTTTCTTTTCTTTTCTTTTCTTTTCTTTTCTTTTCTTTTTTTCTTTCTTTTCTTTTCTTTTCTTTTCTTTTCTTTTCTTTTCTCTTTTTTTAGTTTTTAGGCAATTGGGGTTGAGTGACTTGCCCAGGGTCACACAGCTAGTAAATGACAAGTGTTTTGTCTGAGTCCGGATTTGAACTCAGGTCCTCCTGACTTCAGGGCCAGTGCTCCATCCACTGCACCACCTAGCCACCCCCTACTCCATGGCCTTTTAACAATTATACATATAGGCGATAATCTCCAGCTTTGACTTAACATATTTCCCCAATGATCACATCATCCTTTTTATGAACTGCATTGTTCCAATGAAAGGACTGCTTCTCATAAATGATATTTCTTCTATCTTCCAAGCCTCAAATATACTCCCTCCTCACCATTATCTCTTGGAACCCCTGATTCCCTTTACAGATTGTTGTTTGTCCTTCGTTCTCAAAGAGGACCAATGGTGTCAGGAGGGTGAGGTCTTGACTTGCAAGTGACTTGGATTTGAGTGAGGCAGAGCTGTGCAAAGTCATCAGCTTCACTCTGTCCTCCAGAGTCATTAATAATGAGTCCCGTGGCAAAACATAGGCAAAGATGACTGGTGATGATGGCCTAGGATGCAGTAGGGGATGCTGGCCTTTTGAAGCTAAGGTCTTCCCCAGGTCTTAGTTTGTCTGAGGCAAAGCCCATTCAGTAATTAAAGGCAAGGTAGAAACTGAGGCAAACTGGCTTAGTCTACCTTCAGAAAGGAATCAATCTGACAGGGGAAGACCCTCAGGGTTTCTTGACTCCTTTTAAGCTCAGCTCAAGTGCAGCCTCCTACAAGAGAACTTTTGTGATCCTCCCAGGTATCAGGGTCCTCAGCCTCCCAATATTATTTTGCGTTTACTTTAAATATTCGGTATTTTTTGTTTATCGCTGTACATGTTGCTTTCTCCAGGAGAATGTAAGAACTTTGAGGTCAAGAATTAGGTCATTTTTGTTTTAATAGACTCTGTGCCTGGTATGTAGTAGGTACTTAAAATAGTTATTGAAGAAAGACTTTTAGAACACCCTATAGATAGATCAGCCTTTAATTCAGCTCTTGCTGTGAAACTATAGA